CTTATTAATTTATCATATTCCAACTATCTAGAAAGCAATTGATAAACAATCATGTGGTTAAAAGACACCGTGCATTTCACAACAGAAGCATCTGAATTTCCTGCCTTAACTTTCCATATTGTATCACAATTAATACCCCTGATATCAATCAGGGTTTTTTTTTTAGAAAAAACAGTATTGAAACAGCATCAAAACAGCAAAACTAAATATATTGTCAAACAATCAAATCGAAGTATTTTCCTGCGTATGGCAGAGAAGTTAGAACCGTATGATCTTTAACATTCCTTCAAGCTCAAACTGCTATATGACTCCGTTTCAAAGCTACCTTATTGGTCAAGAGAATATAAAGAACAGTTTGCCTAGTCAGACCCACAGACCCCCAGCCTCAGTATGCCACTTGTAACCACGGGCTAACAGGCAATTTCACAGGACTAGCATAAAAACAAAAGAATAAATCTCACAAAACATTTCAAATCTCAGAACAGTTGTAAATCAAAAAGACAGTATCTTTTAGACACCCACAGGAAATTTCCTTCCATGAATTTATCCAAACACTTTCTGACCCAAGAAAATGTTTGCATTTACAACAGTCCCCTGCATAAAATGCCACTAATTCCTGAAAAGCCTGGGTTTTTTTTTTAAATACTAATTTTTACTGTATGACCCCTAGTTGCTGAGACAGATTGTGGCCAACAAACTAACAACCATTCTATAACCCTCATAACCGCTTCTACTTGCAATTTATCATCAAAACAAATTTTTTGCAAGCCAAATGCAAGGCAAAGTCTATTATGAAAAGAAATAATTGTTCTTCCAAGTTTAAAAGATAAACATTCCCAACATTATCCTCATCCCTCCTTCAAACCTGTAAAAACCTAAAACAAGCAACATACAGGTAAGTATTTCAACTATTGATTCTTGCTATGCTTTGGAAATGCTGAAGTACAGCATGACTGTATATACACTCTGAACATGATCTCATTTTGTTCATGATATCAACACTTTTACATATGTTATCTGAAGATACGTTTCTTTTTTAAAGAACATCCTGTATAACATTTCTTCAATTACTCTGTTCTGTCATTCCCAGCAGAAAGGGAAGCGGGGAGGCATGCAAGTAAAATCTGAAATCTACAGGTTTTGGTGGTCTGAGACTTTTAAACACCTAAATAATGTCTCTGAATATCCAGGAAAAAAAGCAGTTGTAAAATAAGATAAACTAGGAACTTCAGTTGTGCACTAGGAAAGGTGATATGACAAAAAATGTATTAACAGTCAAAGTATCTTTATGCACACTAAAATTACCTGAGAGGCTGTATAATGAGTAAACCAAAACTGCATATATTCTGTTCTGAGTGTTTATGTTTCTTAATTATTCTACCTATTCATTAAAGCATGTGGAAGTGGCAATTCTCTCCCAACATATTTTTGTGTGATTCTGAAGTATCAGAGAATATTCAATCTAGTTTTCATCTAGTTCAGAAAACCTGAATAAACTGCACAACTGAGACTTCGATTCCAGACAAGCATTATCAGCCTGCAAGCTCCATAAGAAAGTGGATCTCAACTGTGGATCTCCCAAAGTTTCGAGCTTTCCTATGATACTCCTTTTTTGACACAACTTTATCTTCCTTAAGAGTTTCTGCGCATCTCTACAGTGTTTTCCCATCCAAGCTTCTTTTCCTTTTAGGATACTATGGAGCCTCTTATCATCTTGAACAAACGGTTATTTCTAACAAATACATAACATTCAATATGGACTTGCTGTAACTCCTCTAAGACCATTTATCTCAGCATAACAGCTGGTCATTATTGACCAACATCAAGGTCCTTAGACTGGCAGATCAAAGTTACATTGCTACAATGAAAATCTTTCAGTTCACTAAATAGTGAACAGATAGTGTCCATTACTTGCAGTGAAGAAGACACTGCACAAGGCCAGACAGCTTAATTTCAATACAGCAACCAGTGAAAGCCTGAGAAGTCACTGCAGCAGCCGGTATTACAAGAGAAAGGAAAGAAGTGTACTATGTTTCAAGTGCTGCACTCCTGATATTTGACATTTCTGTACTTGATACTGATTTGCACACATATTTGTCTAATGATTATGCTGCTTCACTTCTGCAAACAAGCAGAACAGCATGCACCTGAGAAGTTGGCAAGACAGCATAAAACCATTAACATTTTAGATTCAAAGTCTGATGTAAATGTATGTCTCTATCTACCAGTACAAGACTTCAGATCCAAAAGGCTTGAGACCCTCTGTCTGTCATTACAGCCATGGCATAAACCCCAACCCAATGAAGTACCACGTGCTTTATTTAAAAAATGTGTCCCACAGGCGGAACAACAACAACAAAAAAAGTCATTACAAGAACCCAGAAAGAATAAACTATTACTGCAGATCCTCTCTCCCTTCACTATCGCCCCTCTATGAAAAGAGCACTCCTAGTAGGGGTGCCAATTCCTCCAGTCACTTGAACTACACATGTAAAGAAAGGGGGGTGGGTGGACAAACCACACAGGAGGCCCATTACTTCATACCACAGATAAGAAAGTATCTTCTTCTTCGGAATAATAAATTCTTCTATTCAGAACACATAAATGAAATCACACATATTGCTAGGTCATTTTCTATGCTTTTTATAAAGCATCATTAGCAAAGTTATAAAGAACTGGCAATGGCCAGCACTGAGAAGCATCGTTTATAGAGTTTACTGTCATCTTGAAAGAATGAAGAAATTAGAACAACATTACCTGCATCAGGAGAGTTGCAGCTAAATCATCCAACACCCACTTCCACATAAATTACCTACTGTCATGCTATGGAATTCCTGTCTTCCTTTCACCCAGGAGGCCTCTATCATCAAAAAACTCACACTTGACATATGATTAACATTCTCCTTAGCTTCAAGGGACAAAACTGTTGTTTGGGGTCCAAACTATTACAGTTTTACTGGCCACAAAATATTCTGTTACTTCACAAATTAAGTTGCAGAACAAACCAAAATCCCCACAGACCTAGCAACATCTATGTCCAAAAAACATTCACAACATATTCCTGTATCAGTCTTCACTATTGCATAGGCTAAGACCTAAAATCCAAGGGTAATGTCCTCCCCCCCTTCAACCCTGGGCTTCCGAAGTTATTAAAAAAAAATCAACCAAATACAACCTTGTGCATAGGCACTGTGCAGCACCTCTGCTGTCTCAGTCCCATGACATTTGCACACATATGTAAACCCACACATACATCATGGTCAGAACTGCTACCATGCCTCCACAGACATGCAGAAGAATTGTATGGCCATGGACAACAAACAGCAACCACAAATAAAAAACAGCAGATTTGGCTAAGAGTGCATCAGGGAGTCTAGAGGCAACGTGAGTTCAGGGAAGCACTAAATCGGCCAGACACAACTTTTCAACTCTCTGGCGTACTCTTCATGTTAGGGTACAGCAGTACCTCGTTTTAAAGTAACAAGCCCATACCTAAAACAAATATTTCAAGGTAGTTTTGTCTGGTAATGAATAACACTGCGCAACTTATTTACAAACGTAATAATATACCACTGAGATGCTAGAGAAAACAGGAGAAACAGCCAATTGCTCTCCGCTAAAAAACACCCACCCATGTTCAACGTGGATTTTAAATTCAGCCATTTCATGAGGTTTTAAATGGTAAGACTTGCAGTAAGTGATAGAAACAGTAAAACCTCTTGAACTGTTTCTCTTGGTGGTTTTGGGTTCTAATTATTTCTTAATTACAGTTGTAACAAAAATAGTGCCAAATACATGTTTATTATAGAGCCAAGAAGTTCCTAAAGAATTGCCCAGGTTCAGATATACTTTTTGGTCCTGAAACGCAAAAGCAAGTGCTTTGCAAACGCCAGCTGCTGTTGCAGTGCAATTTGATGGACTGCTACTTCAAGACCATAAACATTAACTCAGTAAAAAATCACAAAAAAGTTTTTGGAAGCAATGAAGTCTGCTAATACTTTTTTACATTTTTATTATGTACATTTCTATCCTATAAAAATATAATGGCTCCTGTGTGGATACCTCCCATTCAGTGGATTTCGCAATCTGTTCATAAACTGGTAATAGTCTAGGCATGATTTTTTTTTATTTGCAAAAACAATTAGAAAAATTATCCTATTACCAAAAGCAAACATTAGTGTCAAGAAATGTATATGGCAACTCCAACATTTGCTGTCTATCCTGAAAAGTTATTCAGTTTCCTTTCCCGAGACGAAGCTGGTATTTTTCAGTATACTGAAATGACCAACCGCAGACTTATCGATTCCTCGCTCTTCTCCGATATGAAATCTCCAAAGAAGCGAGTCCGAAAGAAAGAGAGAACAGATTCGACCTGTCTCTAATTGCATGCCTGGCTAAGTCTTTTACTTACGATTTACCTTAACTCCTTTTCTCGTCCTGCCCTTGCCCGGGAGCAGGGCCGCCTCCTAACTCCCCTCTTTTCCCTCCAAAGCCAGAGCTCGCTGAGCGGCGGGGAGGCGTCAGTCCTCCCTCCCAGGCCCGGAGGCTCTTGCTGTCGGTACCGCACGGGGCCGAGGAGCCCCGGAGTCATTGTGCTGCGGGAGCCGGCCGCAGCTGTCAAGGCGCAGCGCAGCTCGCCCCGCCGGCGGGGCGGAGGTCCCAGCCCAGCGCCGCGCAGGGCCCGCCCGCCCTCCCCGGGCCGCGCTCCGGGCCCCGCACCGCGGCTCCGGGCGAGCGGCCTGCGGGGCCGGGGCCGCTCCGGAGCCGGGCGGGCGCCATGCTACAAACCAAAATGGCTGCCCCGGGGAGGGAGCCCGGCTCGGGCCTCCGCCGGTACCGCCGCTCTGCCCGCCGGACTCACCCAGGTACCGTCCCCAGCCACGACGACCGGCTCGGCCCCGCGGGCCCCGCTCGCCCGGGCAGCGCTGCCCCGCACGCCGCGTGCGGCCCGGCCCCCGGAGCCGGCCGGCCCGGTCCCAGATCGCCCTCGCCCCCCGTACCTGGAGCTCGGCCCGCTCCACCTCCCAGTGCGCCCTCTCCATCTCGAAGCGGGCCCACTCGTGCTGGATGTAGTGCAGGATCCCCGGGATGGTGTAGTGCTGGGGCCGGGACAGCTCGGCGGGGCCCGCCGCCTCCTGACCGGCCGGGGCCGCGGGGCCCTGGGGCTGTTGCCCTCCTCCGCCAGCTCCGGCCCCCATGCAGCCCCCACCCGACTGCAGGTTCATGTTCCCACCCGCCTGCGGCGGCGGCTGCTGCGGTCTCGGGGCGGCCGCCATCCCACCGCCTCCTCCGGCTCCTGGGTGCTCGTCCATTGTCTGCGGGGAGCCCTCCTCCTCGTCCCGCGGCGGGGGCCGGGAGCAGGGGCCGGGGAGGGGGCGAGCGGCGCTGGCTGGGGCGGGGAGGAGGGGGCGGGCCGGGCGGGGGGGCTGCGCCGAGCGGGTCTGGGTGTCAGCGCAGCGCGGAGCCGCCGCCAGCCGCCATTACAGCCCCGCGGCCCTCCCACCCTCCCACCCGGCCGGGCGGGGAGCGAGCGGCGCCTGCCGGGAAACCGCGGCCTGGCTCCGCCGCCGCTCCCGCGGCCCACGCGCCTGCGCGGAGGGAGGTGAGCGCCGCGCCCGGGGGGAGCGGGACGGGCCCGGGGCCGGCGGCGCTGCCCGCGGCGGGGCCGCCTCGCCCCGGCCGGCCGGCCCTGCGTCGGTCGGTGGCGGGGCCCGGCCGGGCGGGTCCCGTCTGCTCCGGGTGACACTCGGAAGTGGCGGAGAGGCGAGGCGCGCCCCGCCGCTCGGGAGTGCCGAACGCCTGGGAAGAGTCGGCGGGAATGCGGCCAGGCCGGGCCTGCGTCGCAAAGGGACGCGCAGCCAGCGCAGCGCGGGTCCCACACTTCAGTTTTTGAGACTCTGCGTGGTTTAATGGTGCGCTGAGTTTGCCCTACAAGGAGGTGGTTTAGAATAGATGTATTAAGTTTACGGTGTGTTTCTGGAAGCTGGCTAATCTCTGGTCATCTTCGTGATACCTCGGTTGTGATGTGTGTAATGTATTCCCCCCTTGAGGAGGAAGAGTGCACCATGTTCGCTGTTCAGAACTCTTCCACGCGAGAACAGTTTTGCAAGAAATTACTGGTCTATTTTATCTGGCTCGGTTTTATCAGTGATAGCAATGCAGTGTTTGAGGCTGTAGTTTGAATATGGTGAAATTGCCTCGATTGCAAAATACTGCTCTGAAACATAATACTTAAAAATTACCATCACATCCTATTTCCATAGGTTACCCATTTTAAGTAAGGTAGGTCTTTGGTTTTCCCTCTCTTCATAATGTTTACATGCTGTACTCATTCACTAGAGGGGTAGTTTCCTAAAAAAGGTCAGTTCTTGACAGACCTGGAATTCTGTTAATTACTGGGAAAAAATACTGTTTGTCTTTGTACTGGTGTTTCCTTTCTTTACCAGTCTCTCCTTAGGTATGTATTGATGCTTCAGTTAGTTCATCCAGTCCTTCCTTTCTTCTCCATTAAATCATTTCCTACTAAAATGTCATTGTCCATTCTTCCTGATTCCATACTGATTAGGCAGTCTAAATCCAGCTCCTTTCCACCTCAGCTGATTTCTTTTCATTGTCTACTGACAGTTACCTAATCATTATTAAAAACTGAGACTTAGCTCATAATTAGTTTAACCTTTTGTTTAGCTGCAATTTTTCAGGACATTCCTCATTCCTGACTATACGGGAGTTATTGCCGTTTAATTCCGTTACTATATTCAGCCAGCATTTTGATAACAGCAAAGGAAAACGTTTTTATTCTTTCCTTCCTCCCTCGACTTCCCTAGATAATTAAGTTTGCTTTTTAAAAAAAATCCCTGTCCTGAAATTGAACACAGTGTTTTATTTTAAAGCCACACAGACATACTTGTTTCATCTTTCTGATGAATTGTTATGGGCACAGTAATAAACAAGACTGCAAAAATTACTTTTACTGGTAATGTTTAAAATAGTATGTGGTTTTATTAAAGCCTTGTCTACTGACAGAACAGAAGTAGGAAGACCAAGGGTTCTGATTATGTGTGTGGTCTTAATTTGCTACATGGTTTTGTGCAATAAATCTATAAGAAGCTCAATAAACAAAAATATTAAAAATACTTGTTCCTTTTGCTACACCTCCTTGTGCTTCATGCCTTTATCATTTAGCTATTTTAAAATTTTCATTAATGTTTTAATTCTAGGGGAAGGCATATGGGGAGCGGCTGAGGTCACTTGATCTGTTCAGCCTGGAAGAGTCTGAGGGGACACCTCATTGCAGTCAACAATTTCCTCGTGAGGGGAAGAGGAGAGGCAAGCACTGATCTCTCCTCTCTGGTGCCCAGTGACAGGACCTGAAGGACCTGAGGGAATGTCCTGAAGCCGTGCCAGGGGAGGCATAGTGGGATATCAGGAAAAGGTTCTTCACCCAGAGGGTGGTTGGGCACCAGAACAGGCTCTCCAGGGCAGTGGTCACAGCACTAAGCTGGGTGAGTGACAGAGCTCAAGAAGCTTTTGGACAATACTCTGGGGTACAGGATGTGACTTGGGATTTTCTGTGCAGGGCCAGGAGCTGGACTCAATAATCTGTGGCGGTCCCTTCTAAGTCAGATTATTCTGACTTCTGATGATTCTACATTTCATGCACACATAAAGTGCCATTAGATCTCTGCATCCAGAAAATCAACTTGTTTAGAGTTGGACAGGGAAGTACATTATTTGCCTACAGAGCAAAATAATTATTTGCCTATAGTTCTATCTTAACTTTTATTTTTACTTGGTGAAGCAGTTCTGTAAATGTGTAGTCAGGCCATTTTTGTGAGATTATATCTCTTACATTCTAGCTAAGAGCCCTAGAATGTTGCAAACCTTTCTTAGGCTGAAATAACTAAACTACTTCTAAATCTGTAGACATTGTCTGGAGTGGTCTTAGTTTGAGAGACATGTGTCTAATTTGAATTGCAGCTGTACTGCAAGTAGAATTCAAATTTAGGTTGTGGTTTTTTGGGTTTTTTTTTGTGTCAGATTATGTATAAATATGGGTGAAATCTGTGACAAACTAAATGAAGTGTTTGTATCTATACCAGAGGAATAATTAAAATTATATTTAAAATATGCTTTATCTTACTGCATGTAGAATCAGCTGGGTTGGCCTCATGGGGAGACTTAAGATCTTTTTATCTGCAGAACAGGTATTGCAGGCTTTGTCTCTCTGTGAGGTCTCAGCTGTTACCTGAAAAGGAGTGTCACTCAAACAGGGACAAGTTACTTTGAGGTGTCTCGTGGTCATGCAGCTCCAGAACCATGTCAGCCTTGCAGAGTGAGTCACACAGGCCAATCATGATATGAATTTTCTCTCATAGATACTTATCTGCAAGAGATACTTCAATGAGGGTGACATCTAACACACCGTAACAGCTCATATTTAAATCTCAGTAGTAAAACTGTGTGTCATCTGCATGCATGCCAAATTGTCTTTACAGAAGATGTATTTTGTAAGGGAAGTAGAGTGCTACTTAGTCACTCCAGAAGGTAATTTCTTTTGAACGAAAGTTTGCAGTTTCCAGACTTGTTACATCTTCCCCAAGAGATACCTTCTGAGGTTTTTGTTTACAGGGAATCTTTATTCAGTGCTAGAGTTCCACATGTGTTTTGTAGATTGGGTATGCAGGACATGCAAGGAAGCTTATACCATAGGCTGTTCTGGACAAAATTTCTAATGCATGGCTGACTGGGATGGAGAGAGTTGGACTTGACAGTCCATCAGGATCTCGATAGTCTCTTCCAGTCTTCAGTTCCTAAGCGCATTTGTGATGCAGATAGTTGTCCAGTGACCTGGAATGAGAGAACCTATTCATTTCTGACAAACAGCCTTCAGATAGAAATGTCTTTTCATTACTAAAATGAGCAAAATGATGGCAGAGATATGAAAGGCTTGCATCTTGTCACCAATTCCCTTGAACCATTTGATTCTGCATGTATAAAAGCATCGTCATTTCTGTGTGTGTGCATGGATACATGCAGACATGTGCATGAGAATGCTCAGAAAAGCATGTAAGAGTTGTACCAGAGGAAAGGTAGCTGGCTTTTTAAGTGGAGTACTGATTACAGATCATAAAAGGTAGCTTCTCAGATACAAAGAACTTGAAGAAATGGGGTTTCTTTATGCACCAACATGCACAGCTATGCTTTTGTTTGTTTATTATACTTCACAGGCTTCTGTACATCCTGTATACGCAAAACTCATTTTAACGTGTTTTCTATATCTGAAAGCCAAGGTGAAAAGGGAAGAAATAAATTTTGTTTGTTAGAAACAAAACTCAGTCATTTCCCTTTTCTGCCTAAACTGTGCAAGCAAATGCTTTTACTATTACAAGTGATTTTTTTCAGAATTAGTTCTAAATGAAATAAAGAACCCCTTAAGCTATTTTTAACACTAGCATTATTCTCAAAGTCATCTATGCTTGCTTACTTTTTGTAAATTTTTACAAAGTTATTATTTGAACTTGCTAATTTATTCCACTTTTTCTGCACAAAACTGTGCTTTTGCTGCCATTTATATGAACAAAATTTCTTGAAAGCTATCTTTGGGGCTGGTGGGAAAATACAGAAATGGCTACAGAAAGAGTGGACCTCTTTCCTACAGATTCAAAAGCTGTTGATTATGTTTTCTAATCCTGTGAATAATTGTCTCATAAATTACAGATAACACTTTTGAGTGCTACTATGGTTCTACCTCTGTTACAACCTTATTAGTTTTTTTTCTTCTTTTTAATCTATTCTGGATAAGACCATTTGTGCAGATTCTAAAAAAAACATTCTGGTCTTAATATTTTCATCTGTAAAACAATCCAGGCCATTCACAAGGATACATGCAGATAAAATAGTCACAACATCAGAAAGGGATTAACCATGTACAAAGATTAGGGTAATAAAGGAATAATTAGGATTAGGGGCCAATCCTGCAATAGGATCATACATATGAATTTGTCATGTGTTTTTCTGTTACGTATTGCTTAACAATTACTCAAAGTACAACAGTTCTGTCAGTGCTCTTGGGGTAGTTGTACTGTTCTCCTTGTCTTCCTGTTCTCAAGCCCTTGGTACCATTTATGACTAAATTATTAAAATAGCTTGGATCAAAACAGAGAACCATTAATTCTTGTTTCAGCAGCACCAAACATAAAGATGAAGTGTAAAATTCAGATGAAAAAAGAAAAGCTGTTTACACCACTGTTATTATCTGTTTAGCATGGACAGATGTCTTTTTCAGTTGGTCTCCTGTGTCTGAGCTTGCTTAAAACAATGGGCAGCATTTCTTAGATTGTCTTTCATGCCACAGCTCCTTCTTAAGCAGCTTTAAAGTTTCAGGTTCCTTCTGTCATGAGGTTGGCTCTTGCTAGGGGACTTCCTTCTGAGCTGGAAGGAGCTGTTCATCCTTGTCCTTCTTGGAAGGTTTTAATCAAAAACTGACTACATCATC